TGCACATCCAAACGGACTTAAAATAATTGTACCCTTAACATTTTCTCCATGCAGTTCACAATGTGCATATGCTACTTCTTGTTTTATAAGGTGGCATTGTTAATCAGGATGACGACGTATTTTTGCCATCACTTAGAGATGCTGAGATGTGGCTGGGAGAAGGAAAAAAATGTAAAGGGTGAGGCCTGAGTCTGTTCCATTCTACCTGTTAACTTATCCTTGTATCAAGTGAACATAAATTTTGGTGTTTAGCCACGTAATTCTAAAAATGTGTGGCTTGCATGAGTGCTGCAGATATGGTTGCTTTTCTAGCATATTCTATAAATGCAGTAATCTTGGTACATCATATAATAGTTGGAATCATGCACACATGGAAATAAAACACATATTTACATTATTTTAGATGATCAGACAAATGGGATATCAATGTTTTTGGTTGTTGATTTCACCTTTTTTGGGGGAAGGATTTTAATTATTCTAAGTTACTAAATGGTTATGAACAAAAATTTTGTGTTGGGCATGTCATGACTATTTCAAAAATTTAATATCTTGGCATAAATTTCTTATGTATGTTTAATTTTTATAGTAAACACATTTTGCTGGGTTTCCAAAGAAGGAAAGTTTTAGAAGCCATTCTGAATACAATAGGTACTGGGTAATTTAGGGAATAGTTAGACACTACTAGTTTAAGATTTTCCTGCAGATCTTGCAGATATCTGTCTAACTAGACATAGTTTTGGAGACTATTTTGAGTGAACAATTCAAAGGAAATTTAACCCTGGTATAAATGTAGAGAAGAGCGTGCGTGGTCTCAGTATATGGCAGGATCCTCCCTCTACTACTGGCTTTCTAAAGTTTTTTGAAAAGGTTGTCTAATTTTTCCCCTTAGTTGCTAGTGTGTCCACATTCTAAGCATATATTTAAGGAATTAACAGAGAAATGAGAATGTAAAATCTCTTAGTATGATGTTATCTGGGTGAAGAGTCACTAAAGAAAATGTCCGAGCTGTCAACCTGAACATGAAAAACTTGATTATTTTCTAGACTTGAGAGTTGATCAATTATCTTTGCTTTTTAAACAGCCTGAGAAATGGAAAGGATACCAGCCAATGAAACATAACTACCAATAAAAAGTATTCATAAAAGGAAGATAAGGTTGTGGCAGGTGAAGTTGAATTTGGTTGAATGCATGTTGATTTTGAGTCATCCCTAGATCACGCAGGCAGAGTTGTCCACAGTTAGCGACTGACTAAAGCTCAGGAGAAAAGGTAGGGACAGCGATAGCGACTTGGTGTCTGACACTGGTGAGCTCTATCGGAGGGAAGAATGTTGCCCTGAAAGTCTGCAATGTGAGAAAAGAAGGAGGTACAGGAATTTGGTTGATAGTTAGGATTTAGACAATAGGATTTAGAATCAACCAAGTTTGGCTACAAGTCTCAGTTATAGCACACTCACGGTGTGACCTTAAGCCTTGGGACATCTGACTTTTTTTTCAAATAACCGACTTGAGATACAATTCACATACCATACAATTCACCCTTGTAAAGTGTATGATTCAATGGCTTTTAGTGTATTTACAAAACAATGCAACCATTGCAATATTTAATTCCAGAACAATTTCTTCAAAAAGGAAACCCATATTCATTAGTACTCACTCCTCTGGTCCCCCTTTCTCCATCATCCCCTTAGCAACCAGTAATCTATTTTCTGTCTGTATAGATTTTCTGAATGTTTCATATACATGAAATCATACAATATGTGGCCTTTGTGTCTGGCTTCTTTCACTTAGCATAATGTTTTCAAGGTTCACCAATTTTGTAGCATTTATCAGTACTTCATTTCTTTTTATGGCCAAATAAAATTTTACTATATAGTTATATCACATTTTGTTGATCTGTTCATCAATTGGTGGACTTTTGGGTTGTTTCCACTTTTTGGCTATTCTGAGTAATGCTGCAATGCAAATTCATATACAAGTGTTTTTGTGGATATATATTCTCAATTCTCTTGAGTATATATCTAGTAGTACAACTGCTTCATCATATGGTAACTATGTTTAAGGTTTTGAGGAACTGCCAAACTGTTTTTTAAATTGGCTGTAGCATTTTATAATCCCACCAGCAGTGTATGAGGGCTCTGATTGCTCCGCATCCTCACCGATAGTTGTCATTATCTGATTTTTTTGTTCTAGCCATTCTAGTGGGTATGAAGTAGTATCTCATTGTGATTTAGGTTTGTATTTCCCTAATGACTAATGTCAAACATCTTTTTATGTGATTATTGGCCATTTGTATATCTTCTTTGGAGAAATGTCTAGATTCTTTGCCCATTTTAAAATTGGGTCATTAGTTTTTTGTTTTTTGTTTAAAGATTTTATTGGGGAATTGGGGAAGGGGAACAGACAAGTTGCTGCTCTTTTGTTCTTCAGTCTAGTTGTGGAGGACGTTGCTTCACTGGCCCATGTTGGTATTATCATTGCGCTCTTCCTGGATCAGGCAGTTGCTCATTGGCCATTGGACGGCCACTCACAGCGGCTCACGGCAGCTCACGCTGGCTGCCAGCCACTCATGGTAGCTTACAGCAGCCCATTGCAGCAGGGGCTGCAGCCTACGTGTTGCTTGTGACTCATGGCAGCCCAGCTCCAGGTTGAGCTGTTGTTCACCATCTTAGCTGTAGAGGATGCACGTCACTGACCCTCATATGGGATCTGAACTGGGGCCCTGCTGCTCAGAGCTGGCACCCCAAGCCAACTCTTAACCAATGTGCCACTTGGCTGGCCTGGGTCATTAGTTTTTTTACTGTTGAGTTTTAAGAGTTCTCTATATATTCTGTATACAGGCCCTTTATTAGATATATGATCTGCAAATATTCTTTCCCATTCTATGAGTTGTCTTTTAATTTTTTTGATGGTGTGCCTTGAAGCACAAGAGTTTTAAATTATCAATTTTTCTTTTGTACAGGTGCTTTTGGTGTCATATCTAAGAAATCATTACTTAATCCCAGGTTGTGGAGATGTACTCCTGTGTTTTCTTCTAAGAGTTTTATAATTTTAGTTCTTCCATGTAGAGAGCTTTGATCCACTTAGAGTTAATTTTTATGTATAGTGTGAAGTAGAGGTCCAATTTCATTCTTATGCATGTGCATAGCCAGTTGTCCTGGCACTATTTGTTGAAAAGACTATTCTTCTCCTCGTCGAGTTATTTCCTTGGCACCCTTGTCGAAAATCAACTTTGCTGAAGCATGTCTCATTGGCTTATAGCCTCATCAAATATTGGAATGGAAAGTCTATTGGGGGGCACATGTGGCAGGAGGCAGACAATGGAGTGATGCCTGAGTTGCAGGCTCCTCAAAAATGTCACTGAAGGAGGCTGTGTTTGGCATTAACTGGCTCTCTAGAGCTGAAGGTTTTGCATCCCATTATATTGGGCAAGTGGCTTTTGGCTTGATTGGAAAGGGAGACTTCAGATGGGCCACTTTCTTCCAAATTGTTTCTTTCTATTAGTTTTTGATGCATTGTACTTATTTCACTCTTCTAATCTCTAAATCTTTGGTTTACTGTTTCTTTTGTCTTTTATCTTCTCTCTTTTTTTCCCTTTCGCCTTTTCTAGGGCCCCTAGTTTTCTATTTCAAATGTCTAAAATGAGAGTAGACCTTGATCCATGAGTGTCCCCCTTCTAGTCTAATCCATAGGTACCTTGTAGGAAGAGAGTGGTGTCTTGAGTTTGTTGATTCAGATGAGAAGCAGAGTCAAGTGGCAACCCATAAGAAAATGAAAGAGACTGCCGAAATCATGCAGCCCAGGCAGTAGGCTATATTGACTTTTGGTGTCAGAACTTGAAGTGCTATAGAGAGGCCATGGGTGTATGTTCAGGAAACTTTTAAAGAAATCAATAAAATGCCACCAGATAAAGGTTTCACATAAAAGCCACTAAAACTTTCAGATTTGCTAGAGACACTCTATTGCTCTTTTACGTTACCTGTACTTATACTTCATATAACTTATCAATTATAAATCTATAGTTGCAATTGCCGTTATTTTCTTTCACTTCAAGTAAGCTCCATAAGAACAAGGACTAATGTATTGCCAGTACTTACAACAGGGCCAGGCACATAGCAGATGCCCAACAAATATTTCTTTAATAGATGAGCGTCACCATGTTTTTATAATCCACTCCTATGTTGAATAGAAGATAGACTTTGTCATTTGAAATGCCCAAGTTTCAGGTCTGTCTCTGCCTTTTTTTTTTTTTTTTTAGCTGAGCCATCCTGCCACCTTTTGGCAGCTCAGTGGCAGCTCAGCTTGGGTGGGACTCGAACCGCTGTTGCTCAGAGCTTGCACTCTTGAGCGAGCTCTTAATCAACTGAGCCACTTGGCCGGCCCTGCCTCTGCCTCTTATGAGCAATGATGCCTAACCCCTCTGAGCCTGTTTCTTCATGTGTTTAATAGAATTTCTCTGGAGGCCCCCAGATAATGAAGCATTTGGAAGGACGTTTTATGGATAGATGTCCTCTTCTCTTCTTAAACGTTGGTTTTTCATCATCCCCTCCCTACCCTCTGCCTTCTAATGGATCCTCTTCAAATCATGACTTTTTATCTGACGGTTCTAGTTTAAGTGGGGAAAGAACTAATACTTTTGCAGTGGTCAGTTCTTTTTCATTATGAAAATCTCTGGAAATGAAAAGGACTGTAGAGCTCATGGACCAGAGGTGTAGAATAGTGTTGCTGCATAGTTACTGAATTGCTGAGAGGGGACAAAAGCAGCCAAGTCCTGCAGAACCTGCAGAGGTCTGCCTCGCTGCAGGGGTCCGCAGCATAAGCATCTGTATGAGATGGGGAGGCACAGGCAGGAGCTGGGTGGTGCAGGGGCCAGATACTTTCTGAGTCACTTAAGATACAGGCACTTCATACGGGGAAAGCTGGGCCTCAGGAAAAAGGTGACTATTCTTCTACACGTCCCTTCCCAATTCCTTCTACAAAGACAAGACAGAAGACGAAGTGTCGGTAAAACAGGATGTAAAGTTTATATACAAGGAATATAATGTTTATCTGAAATATTTACAGTGTTGGTTAAAGCAATATTTTTACAACTTTTTAAGGTCAACTACTGTATATTACAGGTAAGCTACAATGGTTTAATTTGCAAAATTAAGTAAAAAAGATGTTTTAAACAAAGGTTAAAGAATTCAGGTCAATTATAAAATTTGTTGTGCCCTTTACTGGAAGAAATCATGCTATGATGGTTAATGTGCTTCTTATAAGTGGAAGTACTCTACCTGGAAATGCAATACATGCTAGTTATGTTCCCAACGAGGGTGTAAAATGATGAGTGAATTGTTATAAGACTCAGGCAGCGTCTCTCAGGCTGGAGCTGAGCGATGTTGAGATAACAGCCAGCTTTATCTCAACCGGGTTTGCAACCCACAACAGTTTGGGCCACATACAAAAAATGAAGCTATTTGTAGGTTATGGCAACCTCTGTGAAAAGTGAAAATCAGGTGACCCAAACCAAACAGGAAAAATAATCAGACCCAAGTCACCTATTCAAAACTAGCTTTCAAGTGAGCTATTTTAAAACTTTATAAAAATATGCACGATTTTATTCGTTTGAATATTTCTACAAGACTTGGGGTTTTTTCCTTTATGTGAAAACAGCTATCCATTCCTGAGGCCTCCTAAGGCCTTATAACTCAGGAAATGCTGGGGGTGCAAATGTGCAAAAGGCAGGGGACACTGCTCCAGGCTGGGGCTGGAGCTGAAGGGACTGTGCTTGGGATACGAGAGCTGAGGCCTCGGAGCAGATATGGTCAGCCGAGCCCTGGAGCTGGCCTGTCAGGAGCAACCGAGGCGCCGGAACTAGCACTGCAGCTTGCGGATGCTGCGGGAGATGCGCTTGAACTCTCTCTGCCCCTTCTGCCACCGCTTCACGGAGGTGATCACCAGCTCCCCGCCCAGTTTCTGTCCCATGACCAGATAGGGCGCGTTGATGTCATTCATCTCCTCGCAGGTGCACTGCAAGCTGTCTTTGAGCCACAGCACCGACTTCTTCAGGTCCCTTTCGGATACACCATTCAGCTTGTAAATGGTCTTGCTCTTGGTCTCCAGGATGATTTTGGTATCTCTGTTGATGTAGGTTATCTCCTTCACTTTAATTTTCAGTGCTACCACGATAAAAGGAGACGGAATCACACCGGTTATAAGGAGGGAATGCAGTCTAGATTGGGGGCCTCCCTCACCCCCTTCCACTGCCTGTTGGTGTGACCTGGCTTGGGGGGAAGGAAGGGCTTCCTAGATGGAGTTAGACTGTAAGCGGCTGCACTAAGGGGTTGGGGGCTGGGGGCAGCAGGTGGCTCCAGGTCTAAAGCCTCAAAACCTTTGCCAGGAAACTTCCTTTGCAGGACTCCACTCCCCTTGCCCTCCTTGTGTTTGCGTGTAGGTCGCATGTGGTTTGTGCTCCCCTCAACAAATGACTTCCCCTATTGGAAACGTCAGCATGAAAAGAAATGGCCGATTCGTAGGTGAAACACGATCCTTCTGTGGCCATACGCTTTAAACTCAATTTATTACGTCGGAGAGGTTTTTGGACAAACCTGTAAGGAAATTATATCACACAATCATTGTTTTCTAAAGAACAGACTACAGGGAAGGAGAATTGATCTTACAGCTGCATTTGATTTGGTAAAGCAACTAGGAGTAAAATATCCAAGACTCTTTTTAAGAGCACATGTTTAGCTGTAAAAGTGTTTTTCTGAAGACCTCATCCTCATATGCTATCATTTGCCTGTCCAAGGCCAGGGCGTTTACAGATCATATATGTACTGTTTCCAAAATGGATATTAGACTCATTAGAATGCTAAGACCAAAAGTAAGTGGTTTACATAAAAGACACATTTTATACTCATAAACAGTATGCTTTGGGAAAGAAAACCCTACAAACACACATGCAGGAATAACATTTCAAGACTCCATGAAGGCAGGGAAAGTATAGAATTTTAAGGTTAGAAGAAATTATCCCATTAAAATCTCTTGTTGGTACACGAAGAATCTGAAATCCAGACGTAGTGGTTTACACGAGGTCACAGTTAGGTTGTGTCCTCGCTGAGTCTAGTTCTCAGAACACTGGTCCCTACACCTCCTCCTATAACATCACAGTAGTCTCGATAGACAACTTCCAATTCCTTGTCCTGGTTGGAGCATTGACTCGCCCAACTGTAATGTGTGCCAAGACCCTTGGTGCCATTGTTAACTTCCTGACTTTGATGGAGTTTAATGCAGTTTTTAAATTAATAATAGAGGAAGAATTGTGTGTGTGTGTTTAGCTGCTTTGGGGGTTTCTTACTTAGAAGGAGAATCTGACTTAGGCATGGCTTTTCCAGTCAACTGGGAAATGATCCAGGTAAATCAAGGATGCTGTGACTTGGCCAACCAATGTTCTGTCTGATATGCATCTGAACCATAATACTGAGTTCTTCGGGTTTATGATACTTAAATCCTGGAACAACTCACATGGAAATGTCTCGTTCCTGTGGCCCCTGGGTAAAGGGTGGGGACGGGGACAATATATGATGAGATAAGTGATTATATGTTGCCCAGGATCCTCGTCTATAGCACAGATAGAGCATGTGTGAGATCTCACCTGGTCAAATTAAACATTCTTGAGCTCCAGACATGAGAAAAATCATCACTTAACCAAAGGGAAGGTTTATTATTCATATTTCTCTAGCTTTGAAATAACCAACATGGGGAAACATCAGGCATTTCCTCCCTGGATTTTCAGCTGGGACCAAATATAGGGAATCAAAGCCTCAGATTAACTTTTCCTGCCCTGGAAGATGTGAACTGGGATTCAGGATGTGGGTAGGAGACAGTGGGGATGACACTATCTGACCCAACAATAGGTTGTATACAGTTTGGGCCTTCCTATCTTTACCAGTACTTTCGCCACTGAAATAAGGAGTGCCGTGGGGGAAGAGTGTGATGTTAGTGAAATCAGATTTCTACTCTTCCATTAATCCCCCAAAGTACAGAGGCAACATGGATTACTGCTTATAAACAAGGAGTATATGATGTACTTTCTACAATTCAGTTCATTATTCCTTTTGTGACAAAATGAACGTGGGGAAATAGAAAACAACGCTTGTGCTGAATGAACATGTGTGATACTTTAACTGTAATGACTTCCATGTTGTTTTGAAAGGCTTTCTCCTCTAAGGACAGACTAGCACACACACCCATTTTTGGTTTTGGCCCAGGTGTGTGTGTATGTGTGTGTGTGTGTGTGTGTGTTGTGTGTTCCCTAAATCAACTGTTTTGGAGCCTCATGATACAACCAGTTTTTTCGTGGAAGAGATCTGTGTTAAATCTAGTGCAAAGGACAAAAGCTGTCAGAAGAAAATGATATTTTATATGCATTTTAATGTAAATTTTATTAAAATTGTTTTTCTATCTTGTCCTTAATCAAATCATATAGCATGGAAGCTGTGGTTTGGCAAGGCCCTGGAGGTTTGGGATTGCTGCTACCAATGTGCCTGGCCCTCAACTACTCTGAGACTTGTATAGATCTGAATATAGGCAGAGGAAACCCTCTCATCCCATTTGTGGCTCTTGCTGAGGGGAAGTATTAATGGGGACTTAGAGTTGCAGCCTTTCTTTCTCCCTTCTTTGTCCGTGTGAAGCTTTTCCAAAAGCTGTGGCTCTGGTTGTTCTGGGACCAGCTAAGGTTAAACCCAGGGCACTTCATGGAAGAGACCTGGGGTTGTAAGGAGTAGTGATCGGATTGTTCCCAGAGTTTCAGGAACCCGACGAGGCCTGAGATTTCTGAGAGGGCATCCTTAATAGTGGGAGTGAGAGTGACTTCTCTCAGCCTCAAGGACTTTGTTGAGGATGTAGAAATTATATGAATAGAGATCTGTTCAAGTCCACTATTATTTGATAGAGCACGAACCATACCTATTTACCAGTAAGTTCAGCTTTCTGCCTGAATAAATGATTCTAAGGGGTACCAACTTATACACATCAAAAGGTGCCTGGTTTTGGAATGCAATGAAAGCCAGAATGCCTAAGGAGTCTAAGTAAAGGTCTCAGCTATGGACAGCTGTGAATTTAGCATCGATCCCGTGTCTAGCTGGGCTCCTGCCCTCACCTCGGAGGCCTGAGGATAGCAGCAGGTAAGGTGCTGATGGAGTCCTGTGTGGACAGTTTCCAACTTTCCTTCTTTTTATAATAGTCACTTGAGGGTGGTGACTTACACTCTATAGAACTTGGGTAACGTATCACACACATTGTTTATTGTCCCTAAGCACCATGCCATCATGGCATCTTTCATGTATCTTGCCAAAATAAATTTCTAAGCTTTATTTATTCTGTTTTAAATTTAAGGAACCCCCTTCAAGTGTTAACCAGTGCCTTGGATATATTCACTAATGGTGGAACACTAAAGTGTAAAGCATTATGAATCAAGTAAGAATATTTCTGTTTGGCACTGAAGTACATTTTTATTTGTGGCCAACTTAATGCCTTGAGGTTATTTTGCTGGGGCTAATATTTATGTTTCCATCCCTGGTGTGCATGTCAAGTGTTAGAAGGAGAACATGGCCCAGGATTAGGCTTGTTCGCAAGAAAAAGCCAAAATGAAATGAAAAACGTGCCATCGAAAAATTCATAATTTGGATAATTATCATTATTTGATTATTGCCTAGCAAAACAACGAATCTCACCTAAAAAGATACAACTCAATACAAGACAGTTACATAGGGAGGAAACTAGGGTAGAGCAAGTTAAATGATTTTAGGAAAGTTGAACAGTGATGGTATTTTACCCAACCTTTATCAAATAACATCTTAATTATTTGCACCTTTAAGTTTTAGTGGTAAATAAAATTTTTGAATGTGAAATATTTTGTTGTTGGTGGTGTTTTACTTACCAAAATCATTTTTACAAAGAGTTTCCATTATGTCGTTGTCATCCTCATTTTTATTTTTGCAGGCTTCACATACCTTTGGAGCTAGAAAGGTGAACAATTAGTAAGTTTGCTTAGAAGGGGGCAGCAGGTGGGGTTTGTAAATAACTCACAGGGGCCCACCGAGGCAAGAGTAGCAATTGTCCTACAAGACCAGCTTCTGCCTCCTTTATAAAAGAAGGATTAATCATTCCTAAGAAATCTCCCCTGCCTGCCATTTTTTGATGGGCAAAAACGCCCATATGCTGTGTGTAATAAAAAGCCTCTGTCCAAGAAAAAGGGCATTGGGGGCAGAGTGTGCAGGTACAGCTCCAGTTAACTGGGATGGGTTGTAGATTTTTAGCTCTTCCTCCCCACCCCTGGGACAAACTCAGTCTCTGAAACAGTTGTTCATTCCCAAAGCCTCTCTGAGGAGGAAGCCCCAGAAGACTGTTGAGGATTTTGGGAAATGTAACCACAAACGATGGCTAAAATATTCTCTCTCAGCTGCAGGGCACCAGCACATTCAGGACGCTGCTGGGCTCTGTAGCAGAGCTGCGTCTCAGGAGAGTCATTTCAAGATATTTTCAAGTTTGGACAGGGAGAAGTGGCTAGTGGTATAAAGGTCACAGAGGGGCTCTTTCTCGCCTTGGAAACACACCCCACTAAGTATAACAACCTGTTCTAACTGGTTCTGTATCACCTTGTACTTTCTGCCAAGTTCATGCTGGAGTCAAGCAGCATGTATTTCATTGTTATCTTTGTCCCTGGTGAGGGTTCTTCTTGCCCCTTTTTGTCCATCTCAAATTCTCAAAAACAAAACAGAAAACAACCAGCCAAACACACACACACACACACACACACACACACACACACACACACACACAGCCCCGAAAGCTTTTCCTGAAGCTAATCAAAGTTGAAGCAAGCCGTCTCCGGGGTCTGACCAAACCTAGGAATGGGCACTTGTACAGTGAGTAGTCAGAGAGACTACTAAAGGCTCTTCTAAAGCTGGATTTCTTGGGAAAAGGAAAACATACTCCCTTTTCCCCATTCATAAATGTGTTAATGCTTTCTTTAAAATTTAGGTGAAATTTGATTTTCATTAATACAAAACAGAATTTTCACAGAAAAAAACAACAAACTTCGTGCAACTCATGATAGAAGAGTTATTTACCAAGTTAGAAAAATGGCAGAGCATGGTTTGAAGAGCATAAACTTTTATTTTGAAGGGAGAAATGGCTTTGAGGAGAAAGGTAGTGTAATGTTGGTGCTGATAGTGGAAAGAAATAAAAACAAAAGCAACACACATAAAACTGCCCTTAACTCCCCTCACTCAAACAAAATGAAACATTTCCAATTAGGAGCTCTAGGAATGTATATAAAATGTTACTAACCTGTAGTGGTTGGTCTGTGGTGTATGTTGGACAAATGTTTGAAATATGCCAAACATTTGCAATAAATTAGAAATCTAACCAATAAGATGATTGCACATTCATGGTGCCTGCCAGGAAAGATTGCTAAGCAACTTTGCATTTTCTCTAACTAATGATGGCTGTAGGAAAACAATTAGAGATTGAAAGGGAGATGCTGCTGGAGCCCTGAAAGGGATTAGAAGCCCCCTTTCCATCCCAGGAGGGCCTAAATCAGCTCAGACACATTGTATATGTTTTCCTTTCAGGAAGAATATCAAGAGCCCATGAGGTTTTCATTGCTTTGATGGTTTTTGCACAGGAACTCCCCCTCTGTTTTCTAAAAACTTGGGAAACTCTCTTTTGCATGATTTTCTCCAGTTAATTAAAACCACTCCCAAGATAAAAGCTGAATTGTGATAGAAAATGTTCCCTGGAGATTCCCTTTATGCCTCCTTCCTTAGACACCTGAGCAGTTACAACAAATGCTCAACTTTCAACACACTCAGAGCCAGTCCTGCTTTTATTTCCCGAACTTACATCCCCAAAGAACAAAAAGTACCTCACAAGACTATATGTTTTGTAGATTTTGGCTATCCTGTCTGTAGGGGAATGTTCCAGTGCCTAGAATCCTGCCCGGCGGTAAGATCGTGCTGCAGGAGGCTGAGCGAGGAGCCTGCGACCAGATGCTCACCACCAACTCCTCCACCCAGGGCCATTGCCAACGGTCTCCAAATTTCGGCCTCCCTGCTAGCATGTTCAAAAACAATTATATATCTATAAGGAAAAGATGCCGTTCAGTTCTTCGTTTTCTTTCGTTCTTTTTTTTTTTTTTTTTTTTTTTAATCTAAGAAAGAGCAACTGGTATAACTCCGGAAGGGAATTAGAGGCTTGGGTGTGTGGGGGGAGGTTGTCTCAAATTTGTCACGATGACACACCAAGGCAAAGAGAGCGTCTGCCCCCCTCCAGGGACTAGTACCCCAGGTGTGGACGCATCGGGACGTGGGGCTGGGGCCTTGGGATTCCCTCCCCCCCACCAAGCCTTAGCGAAGGTGGAAGGAGGGGAAATAGGGGGTAAGGCTTACCTTCTTCGGTGGCCGGCAGGAGGTGGTCGCTGCTAGCGAGGGGGATGCAAAGGTCGTTGTCCTGGGGGAAACGGTCGCACTCGAGCATGTCGGGCCAGGGGAAGCCGAAGGCGGACATGACCGGAGCGCAGCGGTCCTTCACCTGCACGCAGAGCGAGTGGCACGGCTGGATGGTTTCGTCCAGGTCATCGAGACAGACCGGGGCGAAGAGCGAACACAGGAACTTCTTGGTGTCCGGGTGGCACTGCTTCATGACCAGCGGGATCCAGGCGCCCGCCTGCTCCAGCACCTCCTTCATGGTCTCGTGGCCCAGCAGGTTGGGCAGCCGCATGTTCTGGTACTCTATGCCGTGGCATAGCTGCAGGTTGGCCGGGATGGGCTTGCAATTGCTGCGCTTGTAGGAGAAGTCGGGCTGGCCGAAGAAGAGCCCGCGCGCGGAGCCCAAGCAGCAGTGCGAGGCGAGGACCAGCAACAGCAGCGAGCCGGGGCCCTGCGGCATCGTGGGCGCGCGACCCCCGGGGGGCGGAGGGATCGGAACCGGGGAAGCGCGAGGCGGCCGGGGCCCGAGCTTGTCCCGGGCCCGCTCGCTCGCTTGACGCGGCTAGGGAGCCTGGAAAGCGGGCGGCGGGACCGCCGAGAGGTCGGACGCCGGCTGAACTGCGGGGCGAGGCGCTCTCCTCTCGGCTTCGTGCAGCAAGCCTGTGCGCAGCTCCGGGAGGAGGGGGGGGCTCCGACCCGGGGGAGCTGAGTGAACGGTTGTTGGGGCCCAGCCAGAGTTTTCTTGGCCTTTTTTATGCAAATCTGGGGGTGGGGGGAGCAAGGGAGGAGCCAGTGCAGAGTAATCTGAGGAGGGCTGGTCACTACTCTCTTGGTCTGGTTTTCCTTTGAGAATGCCCCTCACGCGCTCCCTGGAAGGAAATTTTGGCTGTCTCCCAACCCCCCTTCAGATGCTGCCGAGCGCGCGCTCTAGGATCGTTTTAAACAACAAACAAACAAATGGACAAGCCTGGCAGCTGCGTCCCAACAGTGACTGTGCCGGGCGCGGGCTGCGGGAGATCGTGGGATGCTGGAGACGCAGTGGGCGGCCTCTCTGCCAGATCCCAGGCGGAACGCGCTCCGCCCCCCGCGAGGCCCCAGCCAGGGTTTGCTTGACCCCATCCCGAAGTTTCTGCTCTGCCCCCGGGGCTGCGCGGTGGAACTGCATCCCTGGGCGCTAACCGGCAGTCGTCGTGGTCTTTGTGCCCTGGGCTTGCGCCGGGACCTGCCGGTCCCAGGCCTCCTCTGCGAGCTTGGTGGCCTCTGGAATCTCCAACAACTGTTACCAACCTGTCCTGTCCTGTACGGTGTGCCCCCCCGTTCCCTTGTAAAAATCAGATTATCAATAAGTCGTAGGTGCAAAACTTTGACATGGAAAAGAAAATAAAACGTTGGGGTTGTTATTTTGTTGGGGTGCATCTAGGTTTTGCTGTTGCGGAAACATCTCTACAGGGTCTCGTCTGAATCACACACGACTGCCACCGTTTCCCAGTTTGGGAAGAGACCTGTCCTTCCTTAATTGAATGGGATGACTCAAGGCTCAAAGGCATCACTGGCCCTAACACAGAGACCTCGCGGGGCTCTCAGGAAAGCCGGAGGATGTGCACCAGGGCACGGTTTGGAAGGACTAGTGCTGGGCTCAAGGGACTGGCAGAAAATGGGCCAGGTGGGCCGACTGGGAAGGGGTGGGGGTGGGCAGAGGAGGGACACCTGCCTAGAGAGCAACAAGCGCCAGTCGTGGCCTTGGCAGAGTTGGTTCTTTCATCCCACATATGCCAACGGGCGCGGAGCTGGGCGCCGCGTGTGCAGAAGGGAACAAACATGCCGGCCTTTGCCCGCGTGGCTGGAGCTCCAGTGCCCCTGGGGACTGCAAACGGTAAGTTCATAGCTGTAAACTGGGACCGGGGTGCCAGCAGAGGGACCGTGTGCGATGGGGAGCCCCTTTCCTCTAACCGCTCCAAGTGTCCCCTAGAGGCAGGTCGTCTCCGCCCCCTCATCCTCCCTACCGGGGTGGCGGTGCAGGTCCAAAGAGATAATCCCAGAGGAGGGAGCCCGCCAAAGTTCTTTCATATGTAAGGGGGGCGCATTGTTATTACTTCCCGGCCACTCCGAGCCATCGGCAGGCTCTATTTCCCTCCTTCCGGAAAGAGGCCTTGGCCTTGACTCCCCAGGTCCAGGTCGCCTGGCTCGCTTTGTGGTCCCACTGCTTAGAGGAGGGGGTTCATGTGGGTGGTGAAAGCCCATGGTTTTCTCCTACTCCGTTCTGGCCGTAAACACACAGGGAAAAGCACCATCTGGAGGGAGAGCGTTTTCTGGACTTCGAGAACCTCGTCCCTGAAGTCCAGTTTCCATCTTTTGTCTTTTGACCTTGGGTGCATTTTTGCTCGGGAATGGCCGGGGGCGACAGCAAAAGGCCGCTCCCTCGTCGAATTGGTCCACGGCCTTTTCGTTTCTAACTAAAACCCCAAGAGGTCGAAAAGTCCCGCTCCCCCAAAACACACTAGTTTGAAAATAAATCCCAAATGAAACGGAAGAATTCCGAATCAACCAGAGCCTGAGCTGGGGGAGACTCGGGCCCGGAGGTAGGATGAAGGCCTTCCTGCCTCCACCGCTCCAGCCCCGAACGCCCTTCCCCGGGGGCGCCGCGGTCCATTACAGCCCCTAGCACGGACCGGGCTCGAGGAGCCCACGGCCGGTCGGGCTTGTTTGAGGAGAGGCCTCGCCGCACACCCCGGCGCAGCCCAGGCTTAGGGGCCCCGCTGGCCCGCGGGGCTGCAGGTATTGTTTCGAGAACCCTCGCGGCCCCGTTGGCCGCCAGGGGGCGCCAAGAGCCTCCCTGGAGTCTCCAACGCCGCCGCGCTTCCAGTCCTCCTGGCTCCCGCGCCACCCAGCCTCGACTTCATCCTGCACAAGCCGCGTCTCCTTCCCCACCTCGGGGCGCGCCCCACTCCCTTTCCTTCTTCGCTCTTTCGTGCCGGGGCAAGTGCGTGTCCGCGTGACAGGCGCGCCCGCGGGACAAGCTGATGGAGGGGGACAGGAGCATAACCTCCCACCGAGGGTGCGACGCGAGCGCGGACCTTGCGAAACGCGCACGGAAGCGGATGCTTGGTACAGTCGCGGGCGCGCCTCCCCAGCCGGGGTCGCTGTGCAACCGCAGAGAGGCGCGCTCACGTGGTGCAGCCACGCCGTGGCACCTTCATTCACCCAAACTCCTCCGCGCTCCTGGTTGGCTCTGGTGCCTGTGGGTCTCCGCAGATCCTTGTCGCTTATCCGAAGGCTTTTTGCTTTTACAAACTGAGAATAGATAGATGCTTACCACCTCCATCCCCAGTTCATTTAGTACTTGCCCTTTTTTAGAAACCGAAACTATTCACCCAAACCCAGGGTAAACGGTGGTGGGTGCTCACTCCTCCGGGCAGCCTGCTTACAGAGGGCTGCCTGCCATGGGTCCCTGGTAATGGAGTTGGACCTCTTCCCACACCCCACCACACACCCAGTGAACAACATCCCACCCAAATGCTGAAGGCCTGGAGAAGAGACTCGACAATCCGTGTTGTGGATTTGGCCCGCTGCTCTGCTTGAGTGTTTCCGGTTGACTAGGCACAGAAGAATCTGGAGGCACAAAGACACCCCCCCCACCCCCGCAACCTTGCCAGAACAATTCGGCTGTAGTAGGTACAAGAGTTTCTGGGCCGGCAGGACCCTCGCTCTCATGCTCAGAGATTTTGTCCTGCAGGAGGGGTCTCAGACCCCTGCGTCTGCTCAGCATCTGTGGAGAGCCGGGGAAAAGGACCCTCTGGCTCCCACTCACGAATAGTAAAGTTAAGGCATATGTACTAATTTCTGAGAGGGAGCGCAAGCAAGAAAGAGGAGAACAAGTGTAATATGCCAGTTTCTTAATTCTCAAAATCCAGCATCGGCGTGAAGGGGCAGCCTCAAATTGGATACAAGCTTCTCAGCCCCCAAACGACTGACCCTTTTGATTGGAAATCTCGGGTTTCCCTGTATTTATAACACGAAGATCTCAAGGTCGGGGAGGTTCTTACTAAATGCTATTCTTGCTAAATGTTAAAACGTAGCACAGTATTTTGCAGATACAGCTGTAACTGGCTGAGCTTGACTCGAGCACAACTGGGTAAGTAAGCCAGCTGCAAAGAAGAAATCAACATGTAATTCACCAAATAATGTATATAAGTAATGGGTGAGCCTTCATTGGGGAGACAGCTTTGTATATGAATCCCCTGTCTCTTTTCCTTGCTGCAAGTAAATAAAATGACCTACCCACAAACACTTCTCCCTTAAATAGAACACCCCAAGCAACAAACCCGTTGGCTCCATAACACCTGCTCCTTATTAAAAGACACGGCCTTCGTTGAGGCTTTAAGCCTTTACAGCAACTCCTGAGTCAGGTAGGATGCATTTAGCCAGGGCAGGCCCTGAGCCTCCAGGAGAGCCTGGATGCGCGCCCACGCAGAGAGGCTGCACTAACAGACTGACCACGGGCCCCACGTCTCCTGAAATCCTCACTGTCACCCGGCAGATGGGTGTGACTATTATCATTTTGCCAATTCGTAAGTAGTCACGAGAAAACGGAGGCACAGAGGGGTTAAGTAGCTGGAACGGGATCACACCGTGAGGGTCCCGCCGCTGGTGTTACACGGGCTGGCTTTGGGGACGCATCTTGACCTGTTGGGTGTTTCCCAACAGTGTTGTTGCTTGGCTTTCATCCACAACCAGGCTGGCCGGGTGGGTGACGTCACTTTCTCCTCCTGGGACGTCCCAGGCCATCCCTGCTCTGGTAGGGCGGAGTGGCGCTCCAGCCCCAGCGTCTTTCGGTGGGATTCGCGGCAGCCATCTGGCGGCGCCATTTCACAAACAGATGATTCCACTAGGATTTCAAGTAGGCTCCCTTTACGCGGCTGAGGCTCTGAGATCTTTCACATTTTACGCGTTGGGTGTTAGGCCAGCTTTTTGGGGGGCGATTGGCGGTGGATGGGTTACTACATTTTTTCGTCTTTGACCCTCCCTGCACCCGCGCCCCGCGCCCCACGGCCAGGATGCCGAACGCGCTAGATGCCAGAGCACGCGGGGCAGGTGCCCGCAGCTCCCTGGCAGCGCGCTCTGGGCTCCCTCGGACCCCAAAGGATAAGACGCAGATTTCCGATACCGAGGTCCCGGCCTGTGACGGGAGAGCCGTTGTCTCGCATTTTAAGAAGAGCCAGACTAACGGAGAACAGTTTACCAACTGCTAACGCAAGCGGTAGCGTGTACCTCCTTTAAGATTTCAAGGGGCCGGCGGGACCCAGACCCGAGCTGGAAAAGCAAACAAAGGTTCTGACTCGGCAGGTGCGGGGTCCACGAGAGAAGCTTGGCCCATGCCGTGCCTACTGTCCCCGTCCCCGCCGAAGCCGATGTGAAAGGCTTCGCCAGAAGAGAAAGGCTGGCCCTGGAAAAGGTGCGGAATGGGCAGCGGTGACCAAGACTGCGGTCGGCACTCTGCCGGAGTGCGGGCGCTGGGCGCGGGCTGACAGCTCCCTGGGCGAAGCAACAGCCATCCCAGGCCCCTGCCCGCGGGGCCACCTGGCTGAGAAGGAGCCCTTCCCGGGGAGAGCTGTAATTGCGCGGGGCTCTCTGGTGGCTGGGTCCTAAGCCAGTATGAACCCCTCGAGTTCCCGAGGCCTCCTTGTACCAAATACAGCGAACGTGCCCTTTGAGAAAGGCCTGAAAACAATGGATGGATGCTTAGGAGCTCGTAGAATGGCTAAAAACAACAGCTCCAAAATGTTTAAAAAAAAAAATACACCTAAAGTGATCATCTACTGCAACATAATTGTTTTGTTCTTCCCCAGCCACGTGAGAGTTGTAATCAACAGATGACTTGGAATGGACTGAGAAAGCTGTTTTATAGTGCTGTGCTTTTCTTCGGAACAGCTAGAGGCACATGGTGGAGGCTGTGGTTGGTGCGTTGGGAGGCACCAAACTTCTATTTCTTCTATTATTCCCTCAATGAGACAATGGCCCTGGACACGGGGGAGAAAGGATGGGGCTAATGCATGGCATGTCTTACTAGTGCGTCCCTAGGCTGCTTCCGCTTCAAAAAGCAAAACCCAACCAACCAACCAACCAAACAAAAACACCGGAGGGCAAGTTCAGTGCCATGGACCTCTGAAGGAAATTCCATTTCTGTTTAGTGCACATATCCTCCCCAGCTACCTTTTGTTTACAGCGTGTCTCAAATTTGCTGGATCAGTAGGAATTCCTTGGTCTTGGGGGTTCAACATTTTGAAATTCCTGTCAACTGTGTATACCTAATTTATTTTGCACCCTTAATTAAAGAAATATTT